TGTGTGTGTGTGTGTGTGTGTGTGTGTGTGTGTGTGTGTGTGTGTGTGTGTGTGTGTGTGTGTGAACATATGGATGATAAAAGAGAAATAATTTTTTCCATTGAAGAATTACTTAATTATCGACCATGATTTTGTTTCTTCCTTCGTGTGCAGCATTCGCGTCCTCCAGATGCCGTTTTTTTCACAGAAGGCATGGATGCCGACCAAAATAGACACCAAAAAAGTGCACAGGAAATGCGATTTCAAGAGCGCTTTATGTATTTCTAATTTCAATTTTTTTATTAACATTTCGCTGGATAGCCGTGAACTATGTTTGTTTTTTTTTTTTTTGCTTCAGCGAAAAGATCTTTCTCTATAAATCAGTTAATTGGCTCCTGGGTCAACACATGCCGTACGTCGCTCATAAAAAGGCAGTAAGAAAAATTTCGGTGAAAATTGCAGTATTATTTACTCTGTGCACTTATCAAACGACAATTATCATCATCACCACCGTCACTGCCACTATCTTCAGCACCATCAATGCTACCATCATCACCACTGTTACCACCGTCTTTACTGCCGAAACCGGAAGGTCTACACGAAAAGGAATGGTCCTTTAATTATGAAGTTATACCGTTCACTGCCAGTTGCTGTACTTTTTTCATAAGTTTTTTTAAAAAACCGATTACGTGGTTTGCATGGCCCGTGCTTCTTGTTGAAATTTATTTTTCCGCACATGCAGTAGCCGGGAACAGCACGTTTCACTTTATTTCCGTATCTGATTCCCAGTATTTACGTCTTCTTGTCTTACACCCTAAAAACTTCCCAACTTCATCTTTTAATTTCGACTCAGCTTGTTGCTTCTGAGACAAGAAGTTGTTAAATTACTTCAAATTTAGTCGACTATTCAGCCCGATGGCACCAGATTTGTCGTTATTAAGGTTGTCACGAGATTCTTTTTTCAAAAGTGCTCACTATGTAGACACATAGCATCGTCTAATAAAACAAAAGTACATTTTTTGACAGATATGATATGAGACAAAGACGTTTGTGCATGCCAGATCCCTAATACTGAGCAAAAATAATTCTTTCTAAAAAAATCGCTCTATTCTCAGGCTTCAGATTTTGCATTTTTAATTAATGCATTCTAGAATACTTGACTTCTGTTCAAGAAAGCACTTTTTTTAAACATTTTGTATCCAAAACGAAAAAAATGTACACATGAATGCGCAATGCCGCAAGCGTGATAACAAAAAATATCTAAGAAAAAAAATGAAAATCCCTGGCTTTCGCAAACATCGGATCAGGATTCGATCAGTCCATCACATCCCATTACTATCTGTGATAATGATATAATTATGATTGAAGCAGGGAAAAAATTTTATGTGTCATCCATCACTGCTCGAAATAACCCAGTAATTATCTCTGTGCAAGAAACAGCGTATCTTTATTCCTTCTTTCGGTCCCAGACTTGAAACAGTCTTTATCCACACACAAGAAAAAAAAAAGATAGCTGTCAAGAAGTTTGTACAGCAAAAAAAAAGAATACAAGGTGGAACAGGAAAGGAAATCGACAAGAGTTTTGATTCAAAATGTGATGTAAGAACTGATAGCGGTAGAAAAGTTTGTTGTTAATTTCGGGCATTTGAAAAGCCAAATACAAATATTGACTTACTGATTGGCTGGAACTTGGCCACTAGTAAAATCGATTACAGGCCGATTAATAACGGAGTTCCGCAAGCTCGCTGGCTGAACTTTTTTGCCTATCTTTCACAGTAGTTCGGATAAACCACTATGAAATAAGACGACAATAGCCCGCTACTGCTATACTAGCCCTTACTACCTTAATTGCCAACCGCTGAGTGTCCAAAGGGTGTCCAAGGAGTGTCAAAGCAACCCAAAATTAGATAAGGTAGTGGTCAAAATTAACTCAATTTTGCACTTTTTTTTTTGGAATAATCAGTCATTTAATTGCTTATTCTTGCTTATCCTTTTCCTTGCACCGCTATCCTGTTTGGGTGAAGTATTTTCCGAACGAATTTCCAAATTCATCGCACTTCTGAATTCGTTCGTAGATTCTTTAATTTTCATGTCGATTTCAATGCACGCGAACAAATAAACACATATTACAGTAAATAAAATACCATTTTCCAATTTAACAAATAAACAAACAGTAATAATGATATCAGTCGGTCTCACCAGTTGGGATTATACGCAAATGGAATATAAGTTTTCGGAGTACTACTTACTGCTGCATTAGCAACAGCTGCAGCAGCAAAGGCGCTTGCTTGAGCAAATTTCACTTTTTCAACTTCCGCTTCTTGAAGTCGTTTCGATTTCGCCCGTCGATTCTGAAATTCTGCTTTTTCACCTTTTGTTCATACCGCTTCACTCATATAACATAAATTATTGAACAGAAAATAATGCTAGATTCTCCTACACACTACAGATTTTATGAAAATGGAACCATTCATATAGATCAGGTATGAGCAACCTTTGGCGACGTACGGGCCTGATTTATATACTTGCGTAAGCTCGCGAGCCACCTTTTAATAAAACCCAGGTAACATTGAACCAAGTTTGCCCGTGCGATCATGTGTTTCTGCGCTAAATTTGACGCACTCAGATCGCTAATATTGTGAATGTTTTCTGCTTTATAGTTTAACACGTGCAGCTCGAATACCCGCGTTTTTGTCTTCTCTTACATGCGAGCGAAAAGGACATCGACTGGGATGACAGTGTTGCATCGTGGCTCTCCTCGTTGCTGAATTTAAACTGAGTGATAAAGTTCACTAATTCTGAACACACACAAGCATTCTCTAGAAACCATGCACTTTTTATTTGCATGAGATGCAAAAACGCATAAAAACAGGTAAGTTTTGCATGGAGTAAGAAAAAAAATAAGCAACAGCAGGTTAATGTGAGATCCGAGCTTGAACTTTTGACATAAGATTGTTGAAATCTGAATTTATATCACTGACACAGAGTCTTGAAGTATTTTCCAGATTGTCCTCTGCTAGCCTCTTGCTTATTTTAGTTTCTATTTATTTTTATGAAACTGCAGAGGCATGGCGGAATACAATCCTCCGTTCGTCTAGTTAGGCACTACATTCCGACTCTCTTCTCCAGCCGGATTAAAACCAATCGCGAGCTGGGCCCGACCCGCAGGGCGTCGGTTGCCCATCTGTGGTATAGATTATGACACAGTCTAGCAACTGCTGATCACTGTATAAAATGGAATGGATTTATTTGAAATTAGTCTTATTCCGAAATACTTCTCCTAGCTTTTAATGGCTTTGTTCATGCATTTTCTTTTCCTTAAATCCGCTCAAAAGCAGCATCTTGTGCATTAAAAAAAGTATTTTTCATGATTAGCCTCATGAACAACTTCTGCTTTTTCATATTCCTGAGAAAGCCGACAGACACGATCTGTATCTAAATCCTACGAACTATCCGGATGATCTATTCATTTCTACATAAACGAGTTAGCAAACGCTCATTTAATAAAATCTTCACTAAATCGAAAAACCAAACAGAGAATAACTGTATCAGAATTTCAGAGGTCTGAACGAACTAAGCGTCCATAATACATCCTGCTTGTCAGATCCCAAAAAAGCATGAAATGTTGTACCGCAAGCTCTCTTCATGTAGGACTAGCACAGCCGAAAATAGTGCGATTTGAAGCAACTACGCAGATGAGAAATCAGGTTATACAATTCAGTTTTGTCGTATTTTTTGTTAATATGGAAAATCGGTGAGACAGATCGAAGTGTTGACTGCAATAATTTACAGTGAAGAGCTAAACCTTTGCAAACGGCACTTTCAAGCTGTTGGATGTGATTTTTTCAAAATTTGAAGGATGTTAAATTTGAAAAATTCGCCAAAATAATTCGGAAAATCATTTATAACTTTTACTTTGGGGTTCTTTATTATCCGCTGCGTTTCGCGACTTAATGCAACTGGAATGTTATGCAAGAAGTTCTCGTTTCCACAAAAGTTTTTTGCAAATAATAACAAATAGGTCTCACTAATTTTTGTTCCAAACATTTCATTATAGTATAAGAAGGCTAGGCCACGCATCCAGCAGGGTTGAAATTTAGGCACCTCAGAGTATGCCAGGAAGACACTTTCCCAGCTAGTCTTTGGCTAAGTCTACATTGTGAAGAGAACTGCCAGTCTGACCAGTATGTGGTAATGCATCAAAGTTACGCAGCTAAGCGCAAAACAAAATGTACGCTGCACGACGCAGCAACGCAGCACGGAGGCAGGGGGGGGGGGGACAATATAAGTGGAAGCAGCTGAAAAATGGGCTTTAGCTTTCGAACCGATGAACTCACAAACTACTGGAAGCCATACAAGTAAGAAGCAGTGCCCCCAAAGCGTATAAAATACGATCGGACACATCATAATTTGGAGAGATGATAAAACGGTTCTGCTCGAAACTTGAGTAAATACAGAATGAGCTGGGTTTGTGCTTAACAAGAACTGGTTTTAGCAAATTCTTATTCTGCCAGTTTTATTCGTTGTGAATTAAAGTATCTCCTCTCAGATCGGTTTTCAATGAAACTGAAAATCGCCTAAGCTTATACTTCTACTTTGATCGGTAAGTGTGCTGGTACTTCCGTCTTATGGGATATCAAGCTTTCTAAGGACAAAAAAGTTGGCAGTGACCAGATAACCATAGAGCAACGTATGGTAGGCATTAGCTAATTGCGACTAATTTACAATGAAATACCGCGGTTTTGGTCTGATAAGAACGATAGTATCAAGGTAGTGGAGATCTAGGCTAGCTGTTTGGCAAGAATAACAGAACAAATGAACATTGAATGCCACAGCGTTAGAAAAAAAAACTCCGAAGGCCAGTAGTACGGCAAAAAAGTCAATCTGAACGGCTCTGAGGAAATATGTGGATGAAAGAAGCACAAAATAGAAAAGAATGGAGAAATTGCGAAATGTACTGGTTCCGTAAAGAAAGACGTCTATAAAACACCAGCTGATCTAAGCATCAAAAGGTTCTTGTAACTGATGTGGGATTTTAAACTACGTATTTGCAAATTCCCAAATGTTTGTTGGTCATACTTTGGAATTGCGTACTTTGGCGTGACATGCAACTGCAATTCCCATACGTCCTATGAAAGCAATAGTTTTGGGAGTTGACTGCAAGTTTTTGGGTGGGTACCGGTTGAATGCTGTCGCAAGCAGGATTCCATCTTATTAGCTTGTCTGAGTGAGGGGTTTAAGCAAAACTCGAGAAGCACATGCATATTTAAGGCTTCCTAATATGCCTTTGAGATTTTAATGCGTACCAAGGTTGCTTTTTATGTACCAAGTGCATGACGTGTATGTATGCAAGTATATGTTTGCCCTGCTTGGCGAATGAATAAAATGTAAATGTGAGTGAAAACCATGTGAATTTAAGGTGTCAAAGTTCTTATACGTTTTCGCAGCAAGCTGACATACGTGTAAGTGCTGATACAGACAGCATTTTATTGTGATTCGCTTTCAGTTAGCTCCTCTCTTCGGCGGCACCATAATTTCACTGGGATTCCTTTCTGTTGAAGGAGGTGTGGGAAGAAAGAAGTAAACTCTTCGAACTCTTAAGTCTAAACCTAAAACTGAGCTTGACTAAGCTTTTCAGCGGCGTAGTAATGAAGCATTAGCATGAATTTCTCTGATTATTCACCCTTTCCTGAAAACTTTTCTAAGTGACTGCCTTCGCCCCCTCCTCTTATTTTAGCAGAGAAAACTACTGTGGATGTGAGGGTGATCGGCCGAGAAGCCACGCGTGACCGAAAACTTTTTTCGCATCATTTCCGTGTGTTTGAAAAACTATGGTAGTTCTGCACCTGAAGTATGTGGTCCGACAAATAAACAGGCACACGTTCACAGGCAGATTCTTGCCTTAATGTGTTTATTGCTGCGTTAGCGATGCGAAAACACATCAACTATACTGATATGAACTGCCAACAAAACCTTTCCCTCTGTCAGTTGCTGCTGATTGAAGCTTTATTACCCGGGTCGGCGACGGGGATGCCTACATTTTTTTAGAAACTACCGACAGCGGAAGATGAGCTGGCCGTCTTAATTTATTTTTGTGTGCTAATTAAACTGAGAAAATATCACATTTCAGGAAAGAGAGAGGAGAGAGACAAGTAAGCCAAATTTCAAGAATCATTCACTCAGTGATTGCATATCGGCAATTGCATTTTTCCTACGTGTTAAAGTTTTGATAAATTGGCAATGAAATTCTTTATTTGTTCGCCAGCTGTGATTATTGAGTCCATAGACTGGCAATCGCACAAAGAAAAGGAGACAGGCCGAGTACCTTCTGTTGCGTGACCGCACCAGCGGGGAGTCTTTTTCACCTCCTACCCCCCAGCCCCAACCTCCCCTCGTTTGCGGGCAAAGGTCGTTCTTGGTAATGCCGACATCTTCAGTTGAATGACAACTAAATGAGTGTCAGTTACAAACCTCATACTTGCAATATGTAACGTAAATACCCCGGGAATAACTCCTTCCCGCCTTTTACTAGCGCGTGTGATGTGTTTTTTGAGGATTTGCTTTTGTCGGTGTCACTCATTTACTTTCGTTTAAGGTCTCACTGCATCCAGTAAGGGCTGTACAAATTTCGAATTTTTATGGTTGAAGTACCGGGCCCTAGCTGAATTTTGAATAAACAAAAAAAAAAAGATTGTTTAGTGAAGATGTAGATGCTGGAGGTTAATTGAAATCAGTGATTCATCCAAATAAACAGTCACAGCGAAAACTCGCAGGTATTTTTAATAACGACTTGTGACCACCTTGCTCATTTGCCCACATTAAACTACCGCTGCACCGATCAGCCAAATTTGCGATAGGGCCAGACACCAAGTTATTTTGTTTACTACCAAAGCACGTATGCTACTAAAAACATTTAATGGTTAGGAACACTGCAATACTGTTTAGAGAAATATGCGTTGAGGTAAACGCGCGTGAAAACGATCTTGTTGCCTGGAAGTGAATCAAAGCCTTAGTCATTTCAAAACGCAAGACCCATGGCGGAGGACTTCGGACTGCTGTTTACGGTCATTTTTTGACTCGGTTTCATAGGATCACAATTCTGCAGATATGTGTAAGCTAGTGTTACATTAGGAAATTAATGAGCCATAAAAATGAAGCTGAGAAGAGTGAGAAGAGGAGGAAACAGGAGGACGGCAGGAATAAGGTGAGAGCAAATATGTCGTTGGGAAACATCTAAAAAAAACAATACGACGTACTAGGAAACGAATCAAGGAAAGCTCATCGATCAAACGGCCTCAGCTTGATCAGAATGATTTCTTTCAATACAGCTCTTTGCTTTTGATACCAGTTATTTGTTCTCATTTCTTCCATCTCTCAATACATACATACAGCTGCGCACCTGTTTCCAGATCATTTGTGTAGCAACTGTGCCACTAATATTCATCAATTATTATTGCTAGATTATACACTCATCCTTCATGCGTTCTTCCCAGGTTTTTCTGCTCCCCAGCCTACTCCCTCACCCCCCTCTCCCACCTTCAGTCGAGCATGTCCGATATCATTAAGAAAGGGTTGCAACAATCAGTATGGAAAAACTGTCAGATACCCGGTGGTTTCCAGAAGATAACTTTTTTGTGGAAGCACTAACTAATTTGAACAGCAAAATTTAAAAAGAAGGCTCACATTTTGGCCACCAACGTATCAAACCAAGAAGAAGTGCAATTCTGCTTTACTAGCCTTCGCGCCCATTCATCGCTCCATGAACTTTTCTTTCAGCTTTGTTTTATTAGGTCCCAAATTCTATTTTTCTGTTTCCTCACTGTTTCTTTTTCGGTTGTTATCAGTAAAAATTTTTCACTGCAGCTAATTCGTTTTACAAGGGAAGCTAGTAGATGAATAATAACCAAAAATTGCTTTAAATGACCGATTTTTTATCCTGTTGATCATGAAATGGAACTCCTAAGCAGGTCTTTAAAAATGCCTAAACAAGCAATAAAGAAAGAAGCGCTGCAGTGCAAAATGATTCATGCATTAGTAAAAACTGCTTAGCAACGAATTCAGAAGGATGGGGCGCAGGCGCTTTAGGAACGAATTCATAGAAATCTACACGAAGATATGACTGGTGTCCGCGATTGCATCTTTGAAAATATCAAGAGTTTCACACCGACAACTTGGATTTCACTAAATAAGCGCTAAAAGAGCTCATCCAGAATATCAACGGCATGAAACTTAGACAGTTTTAAATGGACTTTAAGCCAAGCGAATAAAGTATGCGAGTTATAAAAAAAAGAATAAGAGCAAAATGATTGGAAATGAAATTCACGAATAGACTGCAAAATATTCAAGCACAAAGAGTTAAACGAGATAGGAAAGTGCTAGAAATATTTTCTTCCATCGACGGCATTCCCTTTTCCTCAGAAGAGCAGATCCGTGTTTTAACAGAATGTTGGTGTATTTTTTTCGACTCCAAAATTTTAGTAACCCTTCTTTCATTTGAGTAACCCAAAAAAGCTATTTAGTCTTCAACCAAATTCTCTGATACGCTTATGATACAGTCCATTTTGGGCTGAATTAAGAGCTTAGCTTTCTCAGAGCGAACAATTAATTGGCAAATATTTTTAGAAAATATTCACCAAATAATGGCAGCGCTAAGTGTTCTCAGAAACTAAATATCTCCTAGAATTTTCGGAAATGTTCTGTAAAAAAATGAGTTTTGTCGCATACTGATCAAAGAAGGAGGTGCAACTTTCGCTAGACAAACAGAAAATGATATAAGTTTGAAAGTGATATAATTTTCCAGCCAATGATGTTCAGATGAGCAATTCAGGATAGTCTCAGTGAAAACAAAGAACATTGAATACAACTCAAAAAAAAGCTCTTTGCATGGAGGGACTGCGTTTTAGCGCCAAACGTAGTACTTAGGGAAAACAGATTTTTTGTGGAAAGAGTTTGGTTCATGTGGTGGTTCAGCAATCCACAACAGATCTTCGTTGAGAGGTATTTGGTCTGGGAACCGACTCTTCTTAGCAGTAGCTGTGAAACCTTATAAATCCAAACGTGGTGAAGGTAGGGAGGAGGTAGAAAGGAAGTGTATTTCTAGAATCGCTTCAGTACGCAGCAAGATCAGTGATAAAGTTATGATTACTTGCTTCATCAGTTTGATTAGAAACAAGTTCAACGAGTTTGAGTTTTTTACGTTTATGTACTAGATACACCAAATACATACTTATACATAATTTAGTGAACTGTCAAGTACCATTATGTAAGCAAAATGTTTGTTCAAGCGTATATTGTTACTTAAACAAGTAAATTAATGTGTCCGTTCAAATTATGAATTACCGTATGGACGAGACAGACTAGTAGCCTTCGCTGTCTGTGGGTGGATGTTAAAATGCACATGCGAGTATGTATGTATGTGTGTATGCACCTATCTGTAGAGATCTGTGTGTATGACTAGTGTTCTGCACATATGCTGTTTTTACCAGCGATGTCATACGGTAGCCAAAATATGAACGAATCATGCGATAAGTCAAATGAGGGACGAAAATAAACGGTTCTACAGCGTGTACACCATGTGGAGGAAAACACTAAAATGTGGAAGTGAACTGAAAAAAAGAAAAAGAAACTGGCGACCCGTCCTGTACTCAGCTCTTTCAGCTAGTTCTCGCCTAGCGCAGTCAGCATTTGCAGCAGTGATAAGCAGGTATGCACAGAAATCAGCAAGCTCACACACAGCCAACTGCTGGACTCAAGACTCAAGCAAGGGATAAAGAAAAGTAAGGCCACAACTAGCGATATAGCTAGAAATCCATGCTTCCTGAGGTTGCGCTAGCAATGAAAACTAAATGCGAGAAAGGATGGGAAGTTTTTTTTTTCTAAATTACTGCAGAAAGTTTTCTCGTAGTTCTATAATCCCTCATTTTCCTTCCTATTTTCGTCTCCCTTTCCGAAAGAAGTTTCATCCCAGTAAAAACAACTATAAACACTACCGTTGATTGCATACAGATTTTCCCAAACTCTCCGATACGGCATAACCATTTTTAGTGGTTTAGATTGGCCTCTTTTGTCAAGAAAAATTTTCAGGAAGATTCTGATTTTGTAGTCAGAAGAAGCCATCTCTCAAGTAATCGGAAATTGGTTAAGATCTGTATGACTTTGCTGCTCACGCTTTTCTTGTCTAACCGAAGTATTTGACGGTATGAAAGAACAGGAGGGAGAGTTACTTTTGAAACGGTAAAAATGACCTTTAATGAGTGTGTAATGAATGAGCAGCGGTTGTAGAAAAAATTAACGTCTAATGAAGAATTAGCATAATTAGATGGATTAGCACATATTGTTCGAGATATCCTCAAAGGCTTCCCCATCCTCTTCTCTCCTCTTGCCCCTTAGCCCTTCCCCGACTATCCTGCACAAAGAGGCAATTGCCGCCGTCGGCCTTGCTTTATCACAGATTATTCAATCAATTTGTTTTATTTTTTCTCTCTTGTCAATTAGATTTCTGAACCTCCCCCACACTTAACCCCTTCACCAAAAACTTAATCTGCCGTTTCACCTCTTCTTTTGGTTTCCCCAACTTGTGTCTTTTCCTGTTCTCCTACCTTTTTCTCACACCTCCTCCCGTCTATATTACCTCCAGTTTGAAGTTGACTGTCAGCAAAATACCAGCTCTTCAAAGTTCAAAAATTGCAGTTAAAAAAATGGGATGCGCTAATACGACACCTTTTATGCGTGTATTGTTACTCACCCATTTGAAATTAAATTTTATTGTTTTTTATTAGCTACGGGCAGGGGAAGGGCAAGCCTCGGAACTCTTCCACTGCCTCGTCCCTACCCTTCTTTTTCCTGCTTCCTTAACCCCCTTTTCTCCCACTGCACCAGCTTCTTCCTCTTTCATTTAGCCTTTGTATGGCGACCTATAATCTGTTTAAAATTGCGGGAATTTCACTCTCAGGTTAATTGATTAAAATGTAATAAAGAGCGGGAATCACTGTGCATATTTTCAACGAAACTGTTGCTTTTTTCTCGCTATAAAATGTTGCATACCGCTGTCTTTGCACTGCGCACCCAGTAGGGGGTCAAATTAAAATGCTCTTTATTGTCGCTGCTATTATTAGTATGCCTTTTTGCATGTTAAAAAGTAAAACACACTAAGATACCTAAATGCACGCCTTTGTCTATCCAGATAATTCAGTCTTTGAACTGAGCGGATCAGGAAGTTGAAATTTGAAGTTTTAGTCCACACATAGGGAACTGAAAAGGGCCACCAAAAGGCTGCAAAACTAAAACTATGAGGTACAAATTTTTTCTGATATCGTAAGTCCAACACGCCGAAATACTACGAACTCAATATTTTGGTGGTTGATTTGTTTTATGGTACTGATAAAAGAATTTTCATTTGCCCTCCGTTTCTGTTCCCAGCTTCTAGAGACTCGATTTAGGCTGACTTTTCAATCTCCAGGGTCAAAAAGGTGTTTTGCTGTGCAACTACCAATTACATGCCTAGTTCGCTTGTGCATTATGCGTCCACGCAAAATTCTACGTCGGATCAAGTCCTTATTTCCCATCATGACAGTTCTAGTCACACCGCCCCATAAAAATATATAAACAGGAAGGCTACAAAACTGTTGACGATTTGGATCCCAGCCACTTTACGGTGCTAATCGGGCGTTTTGAGAACTATATTTCTTGATAAAGCAGTCAACCTGCTTGGTTTACTGACTTCCCCCAGGATTTTTGCGTTGGCACCAACTTAAAAAGCCCACTAAAATAAGAACAGTTGCCCCACCATGCAGTTATTGAATTTGTTTTCTCTGTAACCCTTCGTGTGCTGAAAAAACCGTTTATGGTAACCGTGAGCCATTTTTGCTTAATAGTCTCTAAATATAAAAATACTTGACTTTATCGCTTTTACCAAATCCTGTAATACGACTAATCCTATTATCGTTTTCACCGTTACTGTTTGATCATACCGAGTCGGTTACTCAGTCACTGATTTTATCAGTCAAATTGAGTGACCAAGAATCTACAGACAAGCAAACAGATTTCATGAGAGAAGTGCCAAGATTTATTATTGCTGATAACAAAATTATAGGCTACCACCTTTATGGTATGCGAAAATTGAATGTTTCGTATAGAAGTAGGATGAGATAGGATCGCCGTTTACTGAAACGGATGAGGTTGCTGGAGAGAAAGTAGAGCGAACAGCCCTGGGGACGGATATTAATGACGCATGATGCATATCATCTTTATTATCTCCTTTTTGCACTCAGAGCAAAACAACTATTCTACCAGTACATGAATGTGTCACAGTATGCCTTATATTTGGAATGATTAAAATAGTACGGTGCCCCGTAAGCTTAACAGCGGACAGTAAACAGCCAGCTATTGCTCTGGATTAAAAGAAGGAAAGAAGCTTTTGTAATGCTTTGAATACATTGAATGGAATAAATGCGAGCCATTACGATTTCTGTCGTATTTACTTGCTCGACTCCAGGAAACTTTTTACGCCAACATATAACTGAGCCGTTCCTCTGGTGCTGGCTATTTTTGCGTAAAACCCATACGTAAACTTGCTTGATATTACTTTTACCTGAAGCAAGCAACCGCTCGATCGTCTTTTCCTTCTAGTGGAGATGCTTGAGAATATTCAAGGAAGTTTAGGGAGGCCATGAAAATAATTAATAGATAGTAACAGTGAACTTGGGCCACATAGCTTCAACTACTTCTTGAGAATGGCCGTGTACACACGCACACACGATAATTCTTACTAATAGCAATAAATAACAGCTGAGGCATGCTTTTAGTGCTAGAGTAAAAGAATTGATTAGAGCTAACCTGGAACCATATTTTCACTTGCGTTTCGGTAAGCTTTAAGGATGCACTGAATTCGGCTCGTTCAGCAATTGACAAATATTGCTTTTGCTGAAACTTTTGCTCCAGTGATAGCAGTTGATGCGTACTAAACGGCGTCCTCGGTTTGCGGTTGTTTTTATGCTTCCGGAGCAGACATTTTGTTAATCCCATTGCTGCCAAGCTCTTTGGGTCAGCTGAAACTGATGCGCGAATAAATAAAGCAATAAACAAGTAAATGGGTTGCTAATTTATTGTGTACCAAAAACATTTTCTACAGAAGGCTGGTTAGAAGCAATGATGAGCCAAATCAGCTGTGCACACTTCGGGGAGGTTGAAATCTCACTTAGATAAACGGATGCCAATAAAAATATAGAGTTTCTCGAAATCAGTACGATGTAGCTCCCTACTAATATCCAGAATCGTTCAAGCATGGTTAAGAGAACAGAGTGGCGCCATAGACCACAAAATCGCAACGCTGCTGAAGTAACGATTTCGGAATTTCAACAAATTAGCAGTATTCGCTAGTGATCTTCTGTGGGCAATGAAAATTATTAGCTCACAATCAATTCACTTACGGTTTGAAGAGGATTGTTCTGCCGACGTTGCTGGCCATGAATAATGTGGCAAAAAGGAGTCGGGAGCTGATCCAGGACAACTGTCACCGAGTGCTGCACCGGGCAATGGTTGAATGAAAGTAGGAAGAAGAAACATGTTAGTCGGTTCTGTTCTCAGCGAATAGCCGCTAGGAGTGGGAAGTCCTGGATGAACAATTCGAGGATCGGGCGGGAAGGCAACAGCGGAAGTTGCTTCAAGCGAATTTATCGCTGTTGGTTTTGTAATTTCTGGAGACGAATCGCTAAAATTTAATAACTAAGAATTTTTAAAACAATACATTTCATTTCCACGGCAGCTCACTTTTGTTTTATAAAGCAAAGCAAGGGGCACAGCGCAATCAGCCGTTTTTGCGTTAATTTTATTTTACTCGCATAACCCCATGCTCATAATGCGCAAGATTTCTGCCTTCATCCCTATCCTGAATCTGTATTGTGATGCATGATTGATGTGACTGCACACAGCTGTGTGAATTTGCCTCCTGGACAAACTACCTCTCAATAGCAATATTAACCATCAACAAATTAACCACCACTAGACGACTGGGTTATTTTCAAACTATGTTCAGTTCCTCTCCTAGATTTCCTGGAAAAATGAACGCAGTAGCAGTACAGCGATGGATTTTTCTAAATGCTAAAAGCGCTGCTATTTAACAAACCTTTTATCTTCTCTCGGGTTAAAGTTAAACTGGCACTTTTCAAAACGAAGTAGCAACTTTTCTGAAATTTCCCCTCCAATGAATCATTGGAACTGGCAAAAATTATTGTGAAAATTAGAAGAAAAAGTGCCAGCGAGATGGAAGAAGTATAATCAACCATAACCATCCACTAAATAAATCTAGAAATTTGTCTTTCCAAAGAAAAACAAGATTAAATTATGTGTTTGCCCTCACACGTGAAATTGGGAAACAAGAAGTCCTAAAAGTTAACGTGCATCTCCAAAATCGTCTAAAGACGACAAAAACCGCACTCCTAAAATTTTAACTGCTTAACTGTCACAGTGCTAGATTTGAAATACCCGGACAATCATAGACGTTCTCGAGCCTCTAGCTATAACGCTTTTCTTGACGGAAACAAGCAAAAAACGGTTGTATGGATCAGTCGCACACCATGCACATGCTTCAGAATAATCGGAAATTATTCTTAAGTTACACTTTATAATTCACGTTACCCGAAAATTCACGCATACCTTTGCGGCGATAAACTGCAAGATAATATATTTTCGACGCTAAAAGATTTCTTTTTGGAAGATTGGTTTGTAGTCGTCGGCAGTTCAACAGTACACATCAGTTGTTGCTCCGTTTGAAACAGAAACTGAAATTAAAAAATATTTTATAAGAAATGAAGTATGTTAAACATGAAAAATGAAGTATGTTAAACTTTTGGGTGATGCCTTTATAGGCAGAAATCGACGGCCGGGTGGAAGGAGGGACAGAGGCCAAAACGATGAGCAATATTAACTAATCTTACATCACAGCTAAAAACTTTCATTATTCGTAACATAATTATTATTAAGACGTATGTTTACTTAATAAACTGGTATATGAATTGACCAGTAAAGCTGCTATCACAGTTTATGACTGACCAACTTCCAGCAGTGTCTAGCATGATTTCCAAATATTGCTAAACACTACTGTGAGTATTGTGGAGATTTTAGGGATATAACCAGAGAACATCAGTGACCAGGAGATTGAAAAAGGACGGAGGGCTTTAAGTCGTCTGTGTATTAACATATGCAGTTGGTTCAGCATTGCTTGCCCACCGTGAAGAGTAATATCTAGTCGGATTTTGATAACTTAATAAAAACACTCAAAAGTGGCGTTTAAAAATCGCATAACTGTAATACTAATTTATACAGTGATTTAATATTTACTGAAGTTATGCCAAACGATGAGGAAGCTAACCCGTCAGCGTGATGCACCTTTTGACAGTCCCCTTTGAAAAGCGTCAAAAGAAGTTCGCAATGCGCATTGATAATCCCTATCGGTTAAGAAGATGCAGCGCTAAATTTCACCTAACCAAATTTATGCAGTAATACTTACTGCCTGCTTGTATACTAAGTAATAACTTAAGTTTCGAAAAAAGAGCCCGGAGTAACTATATTCGAGGTTTGCTAGTGGGTTTGATAAAATCCAAAAATAACAGCAGAGTAGCGAAACTATTCAAAATTCCATGGTTAGGAATCGCAGCGTTTGGATGAAATTTTGATACTCGAAACACATCAGTGATATCTTTAAACGGCAAAATCCCTATGTGCTTCTGGCTGGGAAATCACTGAGCTGGCTATCCCACCAAAGGATGAAATGAAGAGCAGGACTACCAAGAAGGCTAATTAAGGCGCAATGTAGTGCCGGTCAAAGCAACTGGAGTTACCAGCTGCATAGCGGGATAACTGGACTACAGGTTATAGTTAATTTGAAGTATGTCAGTACATATATAATATATATATTGGTATGTTCTTCGTCCACAACTCTCAGGACCACTTACTTCAAGCAGTGCCTAACGGGAAGTGACGCATAAGCGGAAATAAAACAGTGTCCCGAAAGAGCGTCATGAGGAGGGGAGGGGCCTGAGGGATGAGGAAAAGAAAGGCAAGAAATAAACTGCGTTTATCCTTCCTTTGTCGGTAAATATCACCTGCTATTAGCTCATTAAAAGTTCGGTATCCAAGTTAGTCTTATTAGATGCTAATCATGTGATTACCTCAACTGACCATTTTCAAAGGATGCCGAAAAGTGCTGGGCAACACTATTTTACACTCTCTTACTCAGTCCGAAAAGTGTTACTTGAGTATGCGTGTATACGTGTATATGTGTGTGTTGTATGTGTGCAAGTACACAGGTGCGTCTTTCTTTTTCCAGTTTCTGCTCAAAACCCTCTAGTCATTTGAAATCTACACGAAAGCCAGCTAACTTCAAAACCTTTGGTTATTTTTGCTGGGGGGAACAATGCCCACAAAGTGTTCTGAGAAAAGGACTCCGTGTATGAAAAAATTACAAATCTCGGCGATATGCGGGTACAAATCCTGTGCATTCTCACATTCAATAATTTTTTACACAAACGCCAAGATGTTTTAAAAGCATAAATGTTCGCCGGTGGCTTCTGCTGGAATTGTTGGGAGTGGGAAACGGTAGTGTGTGAGAACGAGTGGTCAGATGCTGAATAAAGGACAATGGTATGTCCTTCCATCGCCAATCCCATCCACACTTAATCGGAATATGGGGATGCTCTGCATGGAGGGTGTGCGTGTGGGCGTGAGCGTCTGAGTGCGGTACACCCACTAGGTGGTGTGATTTGAAGGGCTGGAAGAGACGGGGAACGCATCGCTACAAACTTGTTCCTGTCCCCACCGTTCCTCCTGGTTTTCCCGTGTATTTGTGCATACGTATGCGCGCTTGTGTTTCAGGAAGCTGTGTTGCTCCACCTCCCCCAAATTACCCGATTACCAGAATTTACTAGTCTGGGAGCTCATTCTGTCGTAACTATGCAATCAATCGGCCCCTTGCGATCCTTATTGACAGCACTGATGACGGTGACCAATGAGCTATTATTATGGCAGTAATGATGCTCCTGGTAATTATACTTAAAATATATACCGATACCGAAAATATGGCTGTTAAGCAATAATGGTGATGATGAAGCTGCTGATAATGATAATGATGACGAAGAAGTTGTCTGCTTGCAGGCCGCAGTAATCAACAGTGGATAGGATGTGCGTTTAAGCTGCAGTTTAGGCATGACGACTGAATGCTTCGAGAAAATGATGATGCAACTGTGCCGGCACACTGACCCGTTTGCCCCAATGGGATGAGACCGCAAACACATCTAATAATTGAAATTGATGGGTCGTTCATAATTGCTCTTTCCCTTCAATACTTCTTTTTCATTTTTAACAGCTTCCAGGCAGCTTATTGGAACCCGTCTAATTGCTTCTTTTAAAGGTTTTTGTAGCGAGCATGCAATCATTACACTATCCGTATTGTTTGCATGTACCAAGAGTGGAATCTTATGGAACCATTTCAAAGAAGCGCAGACAAGAAGTTATACGATAGCTTTCTGTAGCGAATGAGCACTGCATGCGAATTCAACGTAGAGAAATGTAGATTTCATTATTCCAAAGTGTTAATCGTTCAGCGGCAGAATGCGGGAGAAAAAGAGAATTCGAGATAGAAACTGAACCCATTTGAAAATCGGTCGTGGATGAGCTGTTGCGAAAGTTTTCTGGAATTCCGCTTGGAAAGCCTTGACTAGAAGTTGGCCTGGCCCGCGCAAATCGGTTGCGGATCTGTAAAAATTAACCTATTTGAGAAATCGCGCAGACTGTCGTGGTTCACGTTAGGAACAATGTTTAAGCAGCTAAGAAAATGGCGTTATATAAAATGAGACGCAGGCTGGAACGCACCGGGCGGGTCCGTGCGATCATTCGTTTTTGCACTGGACTTGAAGTGCTCAAGTCATTAACTGCATGAATGGTAGTTGCTTTACACCTGTCTTTTGCGGTCACCAGTATAAATCATAAATTTTGTATAAAGTAAATGTACAATTTCCATTTAACGATCGTTGTTTAAAAGCAACCTAGTTGCCCAGTCAAAAATTTAGCCAAAATATTAAGTGCCCGTGCTTAAGAACAATGTATACCTCAAGGATGGATTTGAAATACTTAAGTTGTACTTGGACAGGGAACATTCCCCTAAAATTTCAACTTTCTAGCTTCCCTGGTTCCCGAGTTAGCAGTTTTTCAGCTAAAACTTTCATACGTCCTTACGTAAGTACCACGCATACCTGGGGGCTGAATTCGAAATCTTTAGCTAGTACATGCATAGGGAATATTTCTACAAAGTTTCAGCCCCTTGGCTTATGCGGTTCCCGAGATCGCTTTCTCGCCAAAAAATTTGCATGTTTTTTTCCGTACCCGGCACCCAGCATCCACGGGGATAAAATTAAAACGGGAGGGTCGCGCATGGTATAGGCATTATACTCGCAAAGTTTCAGCCTTCTAGCTTTTCTGATTCTCGAGTTGAAAGTGGGTGACAAAAAGTGCGAACATACACACATACAGACAGACAGCCTCTTTCCAATGTGCGTTTTTGCAATTTGCATATATGCAGAAAAATGGACACTTTTGCATAATATTAAAACTTAATTTTGTTTTACAGCTGCAGCGCATTTCTTTTGAATTTAAATTCTAGTCAATTTCCAAAATAAAGAATGCTATGATATCAGTGGAATTGTGGCGAAAATAAGAGTTTTCACTAG